GGGGGGGGGGGGGAGGGGGGGGGGGGGGGGGGGGAGAGGAAGGACACATATGTAATACCCTTTGTAATACTTTTAGCAATAAAAAATAAATTAAAAAAATAAAAATAACAACAACAACAAAAAAATTAAATGAATAGATGAATGAATGGCAGTGGAAAATTTTGGTGCCCAGAGAGTGAGTCACCTAGATATCCTTATTTCATGACCTCTCTACTCCATCGCTGAGAGGAGCCTGTCTCCATGTGGGCGGAGCATGGACTCAGAGGTATTCTCCCCTCCCGAGGGAAGGCGCTTCTATTGCTTACAGCTGACACCATAGAGCGGCTTAAATCATTTCTTTCAGCCTCACATTCTAACCTCTGTCTGTTATTACCAGGCTGCACCTGCAGCCTCTTGGTTTTAATTTCTAGTTTTTTTAAAAGAAATGTACTAGCACAGTGGTTCTCAACCTTGGCTGCACATTAGAATCACCTGGGAATCTTTTTAAAATCCTGATTTTAAAAAGGATGAGGCCCAGAAATCAGGATTTTAAAAAGATTCCCAGGTGATTCTAATGTGCAGCCAAGGTTGAGAACCACTGTGTAACTAGCCACTTGGTGGAATGGGAAGCCTAGGAGAGTGCTGTGCGCCTGTGGCAGGCAGGAATCTGCAGACACACATTTAGCAGGGGTGCGATTTCCCTTCACATTTGTGTTGCCCTCATCCCCTTCCCTCTGGGTAAGGTCAGCCCCTCCCAGCTTGACTTCCTGCCGCAGTCTCTCCCCACTTTAGTCCATCGTGCTTATCACCGCAACATGGGTTTTCCTAAAACCCTTCCCCTTTCTCAATTCTTTAATGGTCTCCATTTTATAGAAGCGAAACCTCCTGAGGCTGACATTAAGGCCTCCGTGGTGTGCCTCATGCTCCCCGTCATTCACCTTCCTAGCTGCTCGATCCAGACAGCGGTCTCTTCTCTACGTCTTGTGCTTTCCAGCCTCAGGACTCTTTTTGTTTGTTGGTTTAAAGTATTACATATGTCCCCTCCATCCCCCATTGACCTCTTCCAGCGGCCCCCTCCCACCCCAGGCCTTCATGGACTCCTGACCATGCACTTGCTTTAGTCGGGATAAGTCTCCATTTTTCTCCAGCCATTGAATCCTTCAGGATTCGGCCAAGTCCTTCCCAGGTGGGGACTTTTTTTTTTTTTTTTTTAAACAAGGCCATGTTTTGTTTTTTTAATTGATTTCGGAGAGGAAGGGAGAGAGACTGAAACATCAACAATGAAAGAGAATCACCGATCATCAGCTGCCTCCTGCACGCCCCCCACCTGGGGACCAAGCCCGCCACCTGGGCATGTGCCCTGACTGGGAATCCAACCGTGACCTTCTGGTTCACAGGTGGACGTGCAACCACTGAGCCACACCGGCTGGGCCATTTGTGACCCTCCTGAGCTTGAGAAGTGGACATCTCTCTTTTTTTTTAATATATTTTATTGATTTTTTACAGAGAGGAAGGGAGAGGGATAGAGAGTTAGAAACATCGATGAGAGAGAAACATCCATCAGCTGCCTCTTGCACACCCCCTACTGGGGATGTGCCCACAACCAAGGTACATGCCCTTGACCGGAATCGAACCTGGGACCCTTCAGTCCTCAGGCCGACGCTCTATCCACTGAGCCAAACCAGTTAGGGCTAGGTGGGGACTTTTAAACCTGCTCCGGGGCCCACGTGGGGCTCTCTTCAGAACTGTGTCAACCTGCTTCTTCCACCTTTTACCAAGTCCGTCTGCAGCCCCAGCACATGGCTGTCCGGAGCGGCTTTCTGCTCTTCACTCGGTTTGAGCTTCATCTGTACTTAGTTTTATCTCCCCCCATTCAGTGTAGGTTCTGGAAGGTAGAGCCGGGGCCTGCTCTGGGTCTGCCACCAAAGCCACCCGTGGGTCCCTGTCGGCCCCTCGCTCAAGTGGATTAACATTCTGTTTCTCTGGAGTCTTTTTTTTTTAAAACATACTTTTATTGACTTCAGAGAGGAAGGAAGGAGAGAGAGATAGAAATATCAATGATGAGAGAGAATCATTGATCGGCTGCCTCCTGCACACCCCGCACTGGGGATCAAACTCACAACCCGGGCATGTGCCCTGACTGGGAATTGAACCGTGACCTCCTGGTCCAGAGGTCGACGCTCAACCACTGAGCCACACCAGCCAGCCTCTCCGGAGTCTTTAAGATGCGAACCAGGCAATTGTTCTACAAACTGTAAGGTGCGACATGTTCTTTCTTGTCCTCTTTCAGCCATACTTCCCATCGCCTCCAGCTGCTGCACTGCGGTTTCCCATCACGTCCCCAGGCGGCTCCTGGACAGAGTGCACACGTGTCGCATCCAGAGAGCTGACGGGGACTGCGACTTGGCGGCGGTCATGTGAGTGCTCGGCGGCGGGGAGGCCTGCACCTGCGGGGTCTGCATGGGAACGGCCTGGGAGTCAGCGTCTCCTTGTTCTTTCTATCTGTGACCTTTTTCTTGCCTCTTTGGCAGCCTCCATGTCAGGCACCGGAGGATCTGTGTCAGCCCACACAGTCACACTGTTAAGCAGTGGATGAAAAAGCAAGCAGCCAAGAAACATGCCAACGGCCACGCTTGCCACACGAAGAAGCACCATGGCAAGAGGCACAGCCACGGGGCACACCCGGCGAGACCAGGCACTCGGCCCCCAAGCTCCGTGTTGGAGAGCGAGCCAGCGACCCTGTGAACAGATTCCTGCCGGGAATGTGGCTGGGGCTGGGTATGCACTGATCATGGGAATGTTCCCTTTTGGGAGCCAAGGGGGCAAAAAAACTAATGATACAGTATGCAAAGGTAGCCAATAATACACTCAACTGAGAAATGACATGAAAAGATAATGCAAAACTTCATATAATATTTTAAGAGCACAGCATACAGATACAATTTCTTCAACTTTATTCTATAAAGTTTTCCAAACCTACAGAGAACTTGAAAGAATGGTAATATGAATCCCTGTATACCTGTCATCTAGATTAATCATTGTTAATATTTTGCCATACTTGTTTTTCTCTCTATTTTTGTGTGTGTATATAAAACATTATATATGTAAATATATACATTTTTTTGTAAACCACTGGAAAATAACATAAACATTATGATACTTCACGCCTAAATTTATTTTTACTGGTACAATTTGGCATCCCTCAAGAACAAAGACATTTTCTATAGGATCACATTATCAGCTTTATACCAAAAAAAAAAAAAATTACAGTTACTTATCTATATATTTCATGATCAAATTTCTCCAACTATTTCCAGAATATTTCATATAGTTTTTTTCAATCAATCAATCAAGTTTCACATATTGCATTTAGTCATTATATTTCTTTAGTATATTTTAATCTAGGAAAGTTCCTTTGTTTTTTTTCTTTCTTCCCATGGCATGGATATTTTTTTAGAAGTCTGTGAGTTTGTTTCCTCATGATCATGCTCAGGTTGAACATTTTCAGCAAGAATGCTTCCTGTGTGGATTTGTATATTTCTTCTCATTATTTAGAATTTATAAACATTAAAGCTCATTTTCTACATAGAAAAGTTTTAGCTGAATATCACTTTAAAATACATAGTTTGAATAACCACCGTTGATAATTACCGATTGATAAATTTGATGCTGAAACAAAAAAAAAAAGGGTCTGCTTTGCTCCAGGAGCCATCTACCCTGAAGTCAGTTCTGAGGGCTCTCGGGGAAGGTCAGGAATTGGGTCCCAGGCGGATGATCGTACTCTCCCTACACGCGAGCCTACGCCTTGTAACTCCTAACCACCTTCCCACGCTGTGGGTGGATCCTCCTCTGCCTTCCTTGTCCACAGAAGCTTCGGGATGAGAGCCAGACCTGGTTTCATGATCAGCCATTAGATGTCAGGAGCACGTGTCCACCTGGGCAGGTGTCAGGTGTCCTGTGCTGCCCAGCTGGCCAGGAGACTGGGAGGTGAGAAGGGACCCACAGAGGTGCTGAGCCTGGTGTAGTCTAAAGTAACACCAAGCGGCCTTTGTCTAACACTGCTCATCGACACCAACTTAGCAGGCCATTTATTTGCTCTCGCCAATAATCCTGTGAGCTTTGTATTGCTTTCTCCACTTTTTGGATAAGGAGACCTCAGAGATGCTAAATAATTTGCCCAAGGTCACACTCACACAGTAAGTGGCAGAGAGAAGCCTTGTGCCCAGGCCTCCAGACTTTTCCTGTTCTCTTATCAGCCCTGGCAGAGGGCCCAGGAAGATGTGGACACAGAGGTGTGGCAGAGGGAGAGGCGTTCAGATAAAGATCTGTGCACCTAGTGCTTCACAGAGGGCCAGAGGATGCCTGCCGTCAGCGTTACCTCCAGCCTGAAAGTAAGCATGCTGCTACAGGCGGTGCTGGTGCTGCTACAGGCGGTGCTGGTGCTGCTACAGGCGGTGCTGGTGCTGCTACAGGCAGTGCTGGTGCTGGTGCTGCTACAGGCAGTGCTGGTGCTGGTGCTGCTACAGGCAGTGCTGGTGCTGGTGCTGCTACAGGCAGTGCTGGTGCTGGTGCTGCTACAGGCAGTGCTGGTGCTGGTGCTGCTACAGGCAGTGCTGGTGCTGGTGCTGCTACAGGCAGTGCTGGTGCTGGTGCTGCTACAGGCAGTGCTGGTGCTGGTGCTGCTACAGGCAGTGCTGGTGCTGGTGCTGCTACAGGCGGTGCTGGTGCTGGTGCTGCTACAGGAGGTGCTGGTGCTGGTGCTGCTACAGGCAGTGCTGGTGCTGGTGCTGCTACAGGCAGTGTTGGTGCTGGTGCTGCTACAGGTGGTGCTGGTGCTGCTACAGGCGGTGTTGGTGCTGCTACAGGCGGTGCTGGTGCTGGTGCTGCTACAGGCGGTGCTGGTGCTGCTACAGGCGGTGCTGGTGCTGCTACAGGCGGTGCTGGTGCTGCTACAGGCGGTGCTGGTGCTGCTACAGGCGGTGCTGGTGCTGCTACAGGCGGTGCTGGTGCTGCTACAGGCGGTGCTGGTGCTGCTACAGGCGGTGCTGGTGCTGCTACAGGCGGTGCTGGTGCTGCTACAGGCGGTGCTGGTGCTGCTACAGGCGGTGCTGGTGCTGCTACAGGCGGTGCTGGTGCTGCTACAGGCGGTGCTGGTGCTGCTACAGGCGGTGCTGGTGCTGCTACAGGCGGTGCTGGTGCTGCTACAGGCGGTGCTGGTGCTGCTACAGGCGGTGCTGGTGCTGCTACAGGCGTGTTGGTGCTGATACTGGCAGTACCCTCTCCAGAGCTGAAAGCAGGCCCCAACCTGATTTTATTGAATTTCCTAATCTGAGGCAATGGAGAATGTGCACACTATCTATCACCTTGGCTTTGCAACCTGCCTCACCAGGTTCTTCTTTCAACTTAAAGGCAGATTACGTAAAAAAGTCCGCATTCTTCCGCTCGGCCCCATCATGCGTTTTGTTGTGAGAATCCGATAGCACAGGGGAACTGAGGACAATGGTTCCTTGGGAACAGCAAGCATCTGTTTCTCACAGTTCTGGAGGCTGGAAGTCCAGGGTCGTGGCCTTGGCAAGTTCGGTGTGAGATCAGCGTGGTGAACTGGGGGAGCCTGGATGAGGCCTGTTTGTTAGGACTCTTATCCGTGCCCCTTTGCTCCCAGCGATGGGGATGATTAGGGGGCTGGCGTGCGGTGGGCAGGTGTCGTGTGTGAGCCTGTATGTGACCAGGGAGAGCTGATTCTGTGGAACCCAGGCATGCAGCACCTCCAGCCGGTCTGTGGCCCTGGGTCAGTAAGGCATCGTCCCCTGCACCCCATTATCCTGGAAAAAGCGCAGGCGGGCAGAAGCCATGTTGAATGTGTTCCCACCAACAACCTTGTGCCTAGCCCCCGGGCCTGGTCCATAGAAGGCGTTCAGTGAATATCTGAACGTAAGAGCTGCTCACAAAGAAGATGGAATCTGGCATTCAGTAGCCACTCCCTGTGGTGGCAAGCACAGCGACAGAGCAGGTAGACACGAATCTCTCTCTCTAGCTGGTATTTGGAAAGCTTGGCACTGAGTTCTTAGACTCTTCGGGTGGAGGAGATAGAGAGGAAATATTCTTGTTTCGGGGAATAAAGGTAAGTTGATTTGCAGTCTATTACATGAGACGCCATTTCAGAGATTCGGAGCAGATGGAAGGTGAGGACTGGAAGCTCTGACTCCTGCAAGGACAGGCCTGAACAAGGCTATCGGAACTGGGTGTGGCCCTTAATACAATCACCTTATTTTTTTTTTTATGTGAGAAATAGCTCCTTAATCCAAAACAGGCTCACGTTACTACCTAGGGGTAAAAGGAGAAACATGGCCCTTATAGTTCCCCAAAGTAAATTTCCAAACCAGGCACGTTTCCCCATATTTCAGGTGGAGAAATCCGAGGTGGTGAAGAGAGAGCAGTATATGGAGCGAATATGTTCACAATGACTGCTATGTAAATAATTGAATAAAATGTTAGTTTTAAGAGTTTTGTATGAATTTTCTTGGCATTAGCTCCTGTTATTTAAACACACACACCTTTAAAACTGTCAGTGAACCTGTTTTTTTAAATAAGCTAACCATCTCTGAAAACTCTTGCTCTTCCATTTATTTTTATAAATTGAAATCAACTGTAAATGAAGTGGGAGAGTTTCTTATTGAAAGAAATTTCTCCCAAAAGCCTTTTGATAAAGTGGACATTATTTTTGAAAGCTATGTTGACATTTGATTTTCGGTCTGTGCAGCGTTTGTGGTGGAAAAAACCCTGGGTCCCTCTGGTCAGACAGCCCTCCACTGAAATCCCTGTGAACAATGTTGGTTTGTTGATCTGCAGATGGTTTCAAAGATCGTTGTTGTGGAGTCAGAGAAGGAGACAGGACAGCAGAAGAATAATCTGGCCCTGGCCGGGGTGGCTCAGTTGGTGGCGCATCATCTGGTGCACCCAGGTTGGATCCCCGGTCAGGGCACATGCCTGGGTTGTGGGCTTGATCCCCAGTAGGGGGCGTGCAGGAGGCAGCTGATGTTTCTCCCGGCCTCTCTGTCTAAAATCAATTTTTAAAAAAGTGTATTTAAAAAAAGAAGAACCATCTGTCTCTCGGAAGAACTGTGAGAAACATTCGACCCATCGCCCGCTGCTGGTTTCGAAACTGGAGGAAGAGGCCCCAAGCCTGTGAACCTGGGAAGCCTCTAGAAGCCAGAAAGAGCAAGGAAACAGATGGTCCCCAAAAGGAGCCCGGACCTACTGGCACCTTGCATTGAGCCCAGTGAGACTCATTTCACACCTCGGACCTCTAGAACTTTAAGATAATAAATTTCTGTTGTTTTAAGTCATTAAAAAGGGGGAGGGGGCAGGTGTGGGCTAGAAGGGGTCAATGAGGAAAAAAGGGAACAACTGTAACACTTTCAACAATAAAGATTTTTTTTAAAAAGATGGTTGCGAAGAGGTCACGCAGAGCACTGTGCTTGCCACATGAGAGGTGCTCAGTAACTATTGCGTTGTTTAGGGGACGACTGTAATCTGGTTTGTTCAAAGTGAGGAAAATCGTTGAGAGTAAAGGCATTCTCTTCAACTCGACTTCCACACTCTGACTCCTAGCACTGGAGCACCTGCTAGACAATGCACCCTGGCCTTGGTCGTATCGCGATCAGTTGGGACAGGATCTGCCTTGTGCTTTAGAAAAACTAGCTAAGGGGAGAGCAGTGTCTTCGCACAGCCCGAGTGGTGACGTTGGGGCTGTCACTCACAGAACAGAGGGCGCCTGTGCCCCGGGCAGCAGCAACTCCATGCGGGTCGTGGGTAGCTGAGGCAGCACCAAGGCAGCAGAAACAAGGCCGGAGCAGAAGCACGAAACTCACTGGTCCCCAAGCACCACTGGAGCCGTGCCCTCGGGCCCTGGGGGCTTACACTCAAGTGAGGTAGAATCTGACCATTCGCGCGGTGGGATTACAAGATGTCTTAACTGAGCATCAAAATACTGTGTCCCCATCTCTGAGTCACACGTGCTATTTGTTTCACAGCACAGAAGTAACTTCTGTTTCAGTGATTGGACTGAGAGCCTCCCCTCCCCTTGCCTTTTGTTTTGTTTTGTTTTTTAGTCATAAAGACCTCTGAGACCTCGGTTGGGGGGTGGGGAAGTTAGAGAGAGAACACAAGGGCTAAAGATAAAGTCTAGCTACAGCTATTTGAAACGAGGAGATGATTCGGGGAGCTTCATCATGTTTTTATTTGTGTTTGTGTTTCCTTTCCTTCTGCTTCCACTTGCCACCACACCTACTTTCACTGACAGTAACTCGTAATGGCTTTCCTGTCATCCATATCGGGAGTGGCGTCAAAGACATGGTTCTTCACTCATTATGTCTTTCTTTTCTTAGAAACTGCCCTCTTTAAGGAAGTGCCTTCCGTTTCTCTTCTCGCCCTTCATTTGCTCCCACGTCGCCTGCTGTCATCCGAGTGCATGGACCAGTTTCCTGCTCCCTGATTGGGTGCAGTGTGAGCAGCTTGCTGCCCCCAAGCAGGGCAAGCTAGGGCAGGATAGGGCTGCCTGCTCACTGTCATCCCAGCAACTCAAACTT